CAGCAGGATGAAGAGAATCTAAAAAATGTAGTAGGACAGAAGGCCATTCAGGATTATGTCCAGAAGTACAAGGTACTAAATAGAAATATTATTGGTTTCCCTTTTGAATTACTGTCGTGAAATAAAAATACATATGTAAAGTAGAATTGATGTAAGGGGAAAAAAAAACCAAACTCCTCACATTGTGCAGTGGTTAGATCTGGGTAATATTTGATACTGTGGAAAACCAGTCAAAACTACTTTTACTCTGCTGTTTAGTTACAGCAGAAATATAATTTTTATTATGTTTAAAGTAATTTCCAGGTAAATCCAAAACATATTCACATGATTAAACCTCATTAGATCTTGCACCCAAACTCACAAAGTACTTTGCAAATCATATAAGCTATTTTATGAGTTCTCTGCATAGTAGCACCTTCTCCTCAAAATGTGGCCTGTTCTTGAATGAAAGGTGGTCAGAGGTTTAGAGAACAAGATAATTTTTGATCATTATCTGAAGCAAAAATGAAACATGCTATATCTTGAGATAACTTTTGAAGAGTGTCGATAAAAGACAATTTCACTTCTTTAACTAGGTCAGTAGTACTCCTATAATAGATCTGCACACAGTAACTTTCTTAATGTAAGATTTGTTCCACTAGTACTCTGAAAAGTCACTTCTTGGCTATTATTGTTCTTTGTATATAAGAATATTTACCATCTTACCTGATTTTGCATTAAAACTTTGAGACTGAATAAAGTGAAAAAAATATATATACCCAGTTTTTCTCATATCTGATCCTTGAGATCAGTATCATTACTTTTACATATATTAATTTGGGGGTAGAGAAAAAGATGTGCATGTAGATTCTGTATTCCAAAGGAATTATATTGCTGCTTTATTTCTCCATATTTAGGAAAAAGTAGCAATACTCTTAACTGCTAGTCAACTGCTAATGAACCTTTTAGCTAAATTTTGGAAAAGCTGTAATTTGTGAACATTTTTCCTCTGTTTTACAGGAAGATGAGAAATGTTAGTACTTATGGTTTGGTTTTTTATTGCCTTCTTTTCTGCTAGGGTTTCAAGATAGATTTAAATTGCAAACAATTGACAGTAGACTTTGTGAACCAATCGGTGCTACAAATTAGCGGCCAGGATGTTGAAAGTAAACGTAGCGACAAAACTGATTTTGCAGAACAGCTTGGAGCAATGAACAGACGTTGGCAGATCCTCCAAGGCGCAATAACAGAAAAGGTAAAGAAAAAGCATTAGCTGCTCTGTAGTGAATTTTCAAAATACATAGAAGTGTGACATTATAATGATTGGAAGCCTTTGCAGGGCACCTAGTCCAGCCTCTTTCTCAAACAAGCCTAATGTTACAGTTAGATCAGATTGCACAGGCACTTGCTCAGCTGATTTTTGAAAATCTTTAAGGAAAGATTCACAGAATCATAGAAAGTTTTGGGTTGGAAGAGACCTTTAGAGGTCATCTAGTCCAACCTCCCTGCAGTGAGCAGGGACATCTTCAACTAGATCATGTTGCTCAGAGCCCCATCCAGCCTGACCTTGAATGTCTCCAGGGATGAGGCCTCCATCATCACTCTGGGCAACCTGTTCCACCAGTGTTTCACCACCCTCATTGAAAAAAAAAATTCATCCTTATGTTCAGTCTAGAACTTCCCTCTTTTAGTTTAAAACCATCACCCTTTGGCCTGTTGCAACAGGTCTTGATAAAAAGATTGCCCCCTCTTTCTTATAGAATCCCTTTAAGCATTGAAATGCCACTATAAGGTCTCCTCAGATCCTTCTCTTCTCTGGTCAGCTTATTCATTTAATTGACCCAAGAATTGTATTGTATTTGTTATGTAATGCATAATTAGTTGTATGAGAAAGTGTATGCTTACATTTCTTTGCAGATCCAGCAGCTGGAAAGTCTGCAGGAATCCTGGCTGGAATATGAAAATAATGTACAGTGCCTAAAAATTTGGTTTGAAACCCAAGAGAAGAAGCTGAAACAGCAACAGAAAATCGGAGACCAGGCTTCAGTACAGAATGCTTTGAAAGACTGTCAGGTAACGTTCTCTTATAAATAAGAATATTCTTATTCCAGCAGTTAGAAAAAACATTTGACAAAGCCATGTGTAATCTTCCTGCTAGTGAAGTCAGTGATACACCTTCTCTGTACTTCAGTGAGGGAGAGATTTAATTCCTAAAGGGCCAACAGTAAGAAAGGAGGAAGGAACAATAACGTCCCAAAGATGTTTACATCAACCAAAGTCATTATTCTTTCTGCAGCGTGTATTAAAGCATAGACATTTCCAAGCATACCAAACGTATTGAACTAGAAGGCCATTGAATGTTCCCATTCCTGGTTAGCCAGTCTTATGGAACTTCCTATCGTGAATACCATGCTTGACTATTCAGAAACTTTGGTTTTGTACCTTATCACTACCATTCCTTCACACCCCCTTTTTTTTTCCATTATTTTTCCACCTGATATTCCACCTGACCATGTTAGAATGGTCAGAAATGTTAGAATCCATGGAGGTTTTATGCTTTTATTCAAAATGTGTTAGGAAAATATTCAGGTATTTTCAGATTTTTCAAGTACTCAGATGTTTTTTCCAGAGAAGGAAGTAGTGGTGGATTCCCTTTTGCTTTCAGAAGACTGAAGGAGAATGATGTTTACATGATCAAATTTAAATAGTTAGAAGCATGCTTCTGGAGCTGTCAGGCTAGAGTTCAAGCTTGTAATTGTATAGGCTAAACAGATTTTTCTGAATTTATAAACAAGGCCTCTACATGGTTTCAGACATCAGATAATTTTTGCTCAGAAGTATTTCGTTCTACTGGACACCAAATAATACATTTCACACCAGATCAAATGTATAGTTGAACTCCATCAGTACAACTGTATGCTCAAAATCTTGGTATTTTCATCCCCTTAAAAGGGAGTAAGGAAGCGTGTTTATATTGATGTGACTGGCTTTCCTGTATGCATTTAATAAACGTGACAAATATGATCTAGCTTTTAAGTCTTCACAAACAGAACAGCTGGAAATTTAATCAGATGAATTGCATAAGAGAATTTTATCTATATTCACCAGTGTTTTAAACCCATCTTTGTTTCTGTAAAAACAAATGATTGGTTAGACCAGTTTTTTCTGAAATCTTTGACCGAAGTTTTCAAACTGGTTTCAGTGCTTACTTTCCATTCAAGTATAGTTTCAGCACAGTAAACCCTTATGACTGAAGCAAGGATAATTTAACATAGCCTGATATAATTGGCAGGCTGTGCTTAGTTGGAGTTCAAAGCTGAATCTGATCTATCACCTTTATGCTTCCTTTTGGTCAGGGAAGGTAGCAAATACACTTGAGTCAGTTATAAATTGCAAGACTTTGATCATCAGAGAAATTGTTTAAGAAATAACTGTATCAGACACTCCCAAGTATCCGGTTCAACTAGTACAAAAGCTGCAGCTTATTTATTAACTGATATTAGCTGCTGCCTAGTGTCGTGCAGGGCATGAAGCAGGTGAACAGCATGTGGTGTAGCAGTTTGCAGACAAGGATGTGTAGAAATGCGTGGAAGCTCTGACAGCTCAAGAGGTGAGTCCAGTTGGTGGTCATCACCCTCTCAGGTGGAGCTTAGCTGCGATCTCCACCGTGCAAAAGGTTGTGCTCTCACTGCTCACCAGAATGGCTGTGGCCACCCAGTCAGAGCTCGCACACAAACGTACAGCTGTCCGGATCACAGGCTGCAGAGAGTGAGTGCCAGGGCCTGTCTCTGCTAATGGGTGGCAGTTACAAGAAATGTTCTGTGGGCTGTGAACAGGCGGGTGATCTGCTCAGCCTGGTGGCAGAGCTGTGAGAGGAAGTTGAATGGTTAGGGAGCATCAGGGAGGCTTAACAAGAGGTAGGATGCTGAAGCCAAGCTCTGCCCTCCTTGACACAGAAATGGGAGCACCTGACAGAAATTACCCAGGACCAAGGGGCCCTTCTGTCCTCTTCCCATCAGACTGAAAGCAGAAGCCTAAATGAAAGGAATGAATGGAGGCAGGTTCATGCCTAGAGCAGGAGAACTCCCTTCTTTCCCACCTCGCTCCCCCAGGTGGCTCTGTCCAACAGGTATGAGGGTCTGGTTGAGAAAGGCCAGTGAAATGAGAATGTGGATGATGAGCAATCTGCATCAGAGGTGCCTCCAAGGTCAGATAAACCTACTGGTAGTATCACAGCCACATCTACGAGGAGGAAAAGAAGGGTTATAGTTGTAGGTGATTCCTTTCTGAGAGAAGTAGAGGGTCCAATATGCTGGGTGGACCCTCAGCATAGGGAGGTCTGCTGCCTGCCTGGACCCCGGGTTAAAGATATCATCAGGGAACTTCGTAGCTTAGTACAGTCCTCAGACTATTACTTGCTAAAGATGTCCCTGCTCACTGCCAGGAGGTTGAACTACATGACCTTTGAAAGTACCTTCCAACTCAACACATTCTGTGATTCTAAGGGGCTTTGCTCTGACCTTGCAAAGAAATAAAGATTCAACTTCATGTTGGGAGGCATGGCAAGGTGACATCTTTCCCTTGGAAGTCATTTTATCCTTTTCTTTGGGTGGCAAAATTCAGGTGGTTTTTTTTTTTTTCCAGAGGCTTGAGCTGACTTTGAAGTAATTAAAAAGCCGTCTTAGGATTCTAGGACAAACTAAGACATGCAATGATTTTCCCATGGATTTAAACTGCTGTCCTATTTTTAACAAGTTTCAGACTCTTAGATGAGAGCAGAAGATTATACAGAAGTATAAAATAGACAACATGCTTCTATTTAAATTAAAAATAAACAACTATACTTTAGAGGGGACATAAAATATGAAATAAAATTGCTGATGGATTATGATACTCTTGAGAATAAAAAGCCAAAGTACACAAGCATGACTTTCCTGTTTTTTAGACTATGGAGCTTATGGGTATCTTTTCTATCTCAAGGCACTCTCTAGCCAATTAAAAAAATACTCAGATATCTTCCTTTTCTTTTCAGGAATTAGAAGAATCAATAAGAGCAAAGGAAAAGGAAGTTGAAAATCTAGAACAGAGTGGTTTGTCTTTGATACAGAACAAGAAGGAAGAAGTCTCTTCTGCCGTTATGAGTACACTACAAGAAATAAACCATTCCTGGGCAAATTTGGATCACATGGTAAAAAAATCATCAAAGGGCAAAATCATAGCCCCAGAAACAAGACATGGAGGAGAGGGAGAAGTAGCAGTTGCAGCTGGTGGATTTCTTCTGTATTGTAGAAGAGATTCTGAATTGTCTACATGTTTCCATCCTTCCCAAGTCTGTGTGTATAGTCCACATAAAATGGGTATAACATTTCCTATTCCAAAGATACTTTTAGTTCTTGTCATTGATGCGTCTTGATATCTAGTGGATATTTAAGTTACCAACTGATCTGTAAGGAGCTAACTACCTTTTCAAGCACACAAGTCTTACAGAATGAGGAAGAGATCAGCATTAGTTGTCATAAGCTTAAAGCTTAAGCTTAATCAACATCAGTCTGCCTTCTCAGAGGAATGCAGTGTGTTAATGCTAACCTCTCTGCTTCCATTCATAGTTTGATTTGCCTGCTTTGGGGATATGTGTTTCACAGTCTTAAGCAATTTCTCCTGATCCTGCTTTGGACCAAAGTAGAATAGTCCCTGCCATCCTAGCTTTATAAAATCGAGCAGAACTTTAAGTTCTACCCAGTGTAAGTGCCCCTGAAGGTTTTGCAAAACCTTCATTCTCTGACAGGTTTAACGTTAGGCATGTGGAACAACATCTGAGATCAAAGGGAATGAAATAATTTAAACAATACCCAGATATTCATTTACTTATATTTTTTTCCTTCCTCCTAGGTTAGCCAGCTGAAGATACTGTTGCAATCTGTTCTTGATCAGTGGAACATTTACCAAGTGGCTTATGAAGAACTGAACAGTTACATGACAGAAGCCAGATATTCTTTGTCCCGTATTTATCTCCTTACTGGATCTTTGGAAGCTGTGAAAGTGCAAGTTGATAACCTTCAGGTTAAAAGCCTCTTGACGTACTAAGGATGTCCTCATTGCATGGATGCAGATAACTATAACTGTACATTTTGGTTCATACTAAAAAGAAGCACATATATACTGGCAAATAAAAATCCTGAAATGTTAAGAGACATATTTGAGAATGTGCAGAAAAATAAAATTATGAAAGTTTTAGATTTTTGATGCTGTTATTTAAATTTTGAGCCGTAATGACAAATCATTAAGAGTTTTTAAATCATGCTGCAGACCATTAAAACTAAACTCTGATTCTTCAAGCTTCTGAGCACATGGTGAGATCACATGGTACCACACATACACCCTCGAAAAGCTGAGATACACATGTGTTTAAGTGATTTTCCACTGTAAGAAAAGCATAAAATACAATGAGACTGCTTTTATAAAATAAAAAATAATATTAATTGAAATGAATTAAATAATTAAAATTTATTAGAATTATTGTTCTATTACATAAACATTTTATTTCAAATAAAGTTGTCTTTAGAATGAAAAATAGTTATGCAAGTATTTTCAGGTGCTTAAAGTAAAAAGTTAGTATTTACCAGCAAATTTAAGTTTACGTTGTCATTTAAATATTCTATGTGATTTGAAGTCCAGCTGTATATAAAGCCAAATTACCAAAGTATGAACAGCACTGTTCAAAGTAGAATTTAAAGAGCATCAATGCACTTTGCAGCCACTCTTCAGGTGGTTTTATTTTATTTTTTTGTGTGTGTATCAGAGAGGAGGAGTCAGTAAAACAATAAGAACAGAAAAGTATTTTTTTGCTTATTGACATGTTGACTATACTGTTTATTAATGATCAGATTTTTTAGCTGTTAAAACTGTAATAATATGCATAAAAATTTTTAGGATTTTTAAAAAAAGCATTTTCCCTGCCAGCAGTACTTCAGACTGATAAGTGAAACAGCAAAAACCTTATTTCAGAATAAAGCATTTTTCATGATGTTACTTTTTTAAATCTCATTCTAAGCAGGAAAGTGTTATTTAATTTATTTTCTTCCACCAATTAAGCTTTTATTTCTGAAGCGGTTCCATGCACTTACCCATTCTGTGCATGAATACTTGTTTTGAATAATTTCTTTTGCAAGCTGTAACAACAGTCTTAATATTAAACAACCTTCTATTTAGATGAAAAACACCTGAAATCAGGTTTTGTGTGCATAACTTGTATGATGTAATTGATGCATACTACTTCAAAATGTTTCTACATCATTCAATCATAAAACCTCATGTATCTTTTTTTTTTTAATTATTATTCTATCTGATTTAGGGCCTACAAGATGAATTGGAAAAGCAAGAAAATAGCTTACAGAAGTTTGGTTCTGTGACCAATCAATTGTTGAAAGAATGTCACCCACCAGTGACTGAAACACTTAGCAGCACTTCAAAGGAAATGAACATGAGGTAGAAAATGTCTGTGTATTGAACTTTACTTTCAGTGATAAATTTGCATTTATCCATTGACTCAGTTTTATGTAATTTGTATTTTTGTTATATTTCATTATTTTACTATTTTATTCTTTTATGTTTTGAGAGGTTTGGGGGACTGTGGGAGCAGGTGGGGTTATTCCTTTTGCCAATGCCTGGAGCAGAGCTGTCTCATTTGCTACTAGTAATACATGAAACATTCTTTCCTCCAGCAAAGCATTTGGATATTAATGGCAGTAGTTTTGCTTCATGCGTGGCTGTCAACCAAGATTCATGAATACCATGCTAGAAAACAGTACTTCATTTAAAATGCAGGAATCCTGACTGAAAATTCTGTTTGCTGTGTAGACACCAGGTTCCCCAGATTTTAGGTTGCTATTTCTAGTTGTAGGAAGGGCACAATAGGCAAGAAAGTCTACCATTATTTCCTTCAGTAAGGAAATAATGAGGCAATTTGATAAAGACCAGCAATTTTGAGAAAGTACATGTTTCTGTTTGCCATTAAGGACAAGAATTCAAAGGGGAGTTGGAGATTTAATTTAATAATATGAAGAATTTTAATAGGCCTGGGAGTATTTTAGAAGGGAGTTACCCAGAGCTTTAGGATTTTAAATAGTCTGTCAGAGTCTGGGAGGAGGCTGCAGCAGAAGAAGTAGTTTCTTGTTTACGGTTGTTTTGGACCTCTTAGGCCCTTCCAGGAATTTGGTACTGGCAGTTCATGGTCAGTCATGGATGCTCTATGCAGTGAACCAAAGTGCGCTGAGTGGAAATAACAGGAGGTTCATTTCAAAAAGTGCACTCTAGCTCTGACCTCAAGCATTAATATTACACCATCTAGGATGTAGCACAGATCAGACCTGCTGTGACAGGTCAGAACAGCCTGCCAACATATTTCTTGTGTTTCCTTTTTTTTCTCCTCACATATCTGGGTCTTGGTTATTGATAAACTCCTTAAAAGCCAAAACACCATGGGAACAGCAGGGAGGAGGAGGGGCAGGGGTAGTTCTTGTAGACTCCCAGGCTTTGACTGTTCATCCTGTCTCTTCCCCAGGTGGAGCAACCTTCTGCAGGAGATTGCAGAGCGACTGCGTTCCAGTAAGGGCCTCCTGCAGCTTTGGCAGAGGTACAAGGACTGTTACCAGCAGTGCTCTTCCACTGTCCGTCAGCGGGAAGACCAGACCAATGAACTCCTGAAGACTGCCACCACCAAAGACATTGCTGATGATGAAGTTACTGCTTGGATTCAAGAGTGCAATGTATGTTCAGTTAAGCTCTGCATTTTTTCACAACTCTGTGGGCTAAAAATCACGAGAAGCTCTCCATCAGTAAACTGCTCTTAGTGTATTGAAAGATTGCATCCAAACACATTTCTTTTTGCTGATGCAGCTCAGACACAGGAGGGACAGATTTATATTTGCTATCTAACTCTCATGAGTTTCTCATACTTTTCATGTGATCCCTCCATTACTTGGCATGTTGTTTGAAAAGCTTGTATCTGAAGTCATCTCTCTGGAGGAGGTAGGTAAGTTACATCATTTGATTCAGTCTTAAGTCCCTGCTTATCAAAGGTATTCTTGCTTGGGAAAATATCTCTACCAAATCTACTGAGTTCCTTGTGATAGAAACACAACATCCTTTGTATTCACACCAATCAAAGCTGTTCACTTTTCTGAATGAAAAGAGACTATGTATATTCTGGGGATGTCTTTATCCTTCCTTATGGAAGGACACCATTCAGTCTGAAACCCTGAGATTCTTCCTTTTTCAAGACTGTGTCTCAATGCAGCAGAATAGTTTCTCTCTTATCCATGCTTACATTTTGGTTCTTTTGAGTTCAAATTAATATTAAGTGTCATTGATCAAAATTTAAAATGTTGTCGTAGTGTAAGCAAGGAGAAAAATTAACACATTAATGGCTACTACTGCTTAGGACCAGCGTGTCAGTAGATTCAAAAGGTTTATTTTAACAAGTATTGCCTCATCAGTAACTCAGACTTGCTCAAAGATGCCAGGGCAGTCACTTCTTTCTGTTCCTCTGTGTGCAGGTACTTCGACTTATTTTTTTTTTAATTCTGCACATCATTTCATAGAGTGTAAGTGGACACTGTGAAATATAGTAAAAAAAAAAGTTTTTTGTATAGTGGTGAAATTTGGTCATTTAATTCCTTCTTTAAAACAGATGTGGATGACATCAGCAGTGTCAGGTTGACTGTTCATATCTTTATTCTATGTCCTGGCCCAGGGTGTACTCACGGATTTGAAGACAGCACAGGAGTCACTGGTTGTTCTGCAAGAACTGGGAGAGGAGCTAAAAAGCCAGGTGGAGACTTCAGCAGCAGCAGCTATACAGTCTGATCATCTTTCTCTGAACCAGATTTTGTCAACCCTTGAACAGGCACTCCTGAAACAACAGGCTGTACTTCAGGTATGCAGAGAGCATTTTCAGTTCTTGAATCTGATCATCCTGTGGGACCTGTAAACATGAGCCACCTAAAACTACCTGTGAAAAGAGAGTGGTGTAAACTGTTCATCAGCATTTCATAGGCTTCCATGGGGGCCAAAGCTGAGAGCAGAAAATATGATCAAGTCCAGCATAGACACCTTGTAAGAATGTCCAAATTCTGGATGATAGAAAACCTCGTGGAGGAAAGCATCTATCTAAAATGCTAAGGACACCATGCTTTCTGTGGACAACAGTAGTCCCCTGAAGACAATTTCTCTTCCCAGCTAGTTCTTTAGCAGTAAGACAAATTCTGAATAATTGTGTATTTACAGTTCTTATTAGACCGACTGACACCTATCATGTGTCAAAACCTTATCAGCAGATGTTGCAAATTGCTTATGTCACCAGGGACTAAAAAGGAGTGGCAGAATGTGTTCCACAGGAAAGTGTGTGTGGGAAAGAAACAGAGGTAGTGGCTTCTGTTTGGGTGACAAGAGAATTTACCCAGGAAATCCAGCATTGTCTAGAACGTCCTTATAATGTCACTGTACTACAATGACGAAACATAAAAGAAGGTTTTAATTTCAAATTGCAGTAAGAGCAACTAGTGGTTCTCTCTGCTGGCAATAATTTAAGCAGAGGAGTTAGTTTCATAAAAGGAAGTTAAAGAAGGTTATTTCTTCCAAGGCAAGGAGACATTTATGCACTGTGTCAATGTGTTTCCTTTTTCCTATGATGAAAAATCCTGTATTCTAACCTAAAAAAGCCAACAGTAATTCGTCAGGCTCTGAGTAAAGCAGCATTTACAATTTCTCCTAGCCTATACAGCTGTTTACAAATCTATAATGAGAATAACCAGGAGTGTAATGTCTATATGGATGCTTTGTGGATGAAGGTCTTAAACTGTGGGCCCTTTTCTATTCAAGGCTGGAGTGCTGGACTATCAAACCTTTTCCAAGAACCTGCAAGTCCTTGAGACCTGGATAAGAGAAGCAGAAGAAATATTGAAAGGACAGGATCCCAATCATTCCTCTGATCTCTCAACGCTACAGACTAGAATGGAGGAACTCAAGGTGAATAATAAATGCAGAAAGTGTTGAGGGCTGGGCAGGGAGAAATCTTACGAAGTTCAACAAGAGCAAGTGTAGAGTTTTGCACTTGGGAAAGAATAACCCCATGTGCCAGTATAGATTGAGACTGACCTGCTGGAGAGCAGCGTAGGAGAAAGGGACCTGGGGGTTCTGGTGGACAGCAGGATGCCCATGAGCCAGCACTGGGCCCTCGTGGCCAAGAAGGCCAGTGGCATCCTGGGGTGTATTAGTAGGGGAGTAGCTAGTAGGTTGATAGAGGTTCTCCTGCCCCTCTACTCTGCCCTGGTGAGGCCACATCGGGGATATTGTGTCCAGGTCTGGGCCCCTCAGCTCAAGAGAGACAGGGAACTGCTTGAGAGAGTCCAGCACAGAGCCACAAAGATGATGAAGGGAGTGGAACATCTCCCTTATGAGGAAAGGCTGAAGGAGCTGGGTCTCTTTAGCTTGGATAAGAGGAGGCTGAGGGGTGACCTCATTCATGTTTATAAATATGTCAAGGGATAGTGTCAGGAGGACGGAGCCAGGCTCTTTTCAGCGGCATCCAATGACAGGTCAAGGGGCAATGGGTACAAGCTGGAACACAGAAGGTTCCACAAAAATATTAGGAAAAGCTTTTTCCCTGTGAGGGTGCCAGAGCACTGGCACAGGCTGCCCAGGGAGGTTGTGGAGTCTCCTTCTCTGGAGACATTCGAAACCCACCTGGACGTGTTCCTGTGTGACCTACTGTAGGGGATCCTGCTCTGGCAGAGGGATTGGACTAGATGATCTTTTGAGGTCCCTTCCAACCCCTGACATTCTGTGATTCTGTGATTCTGTGATTATTTTCTCTGTTAGCCAGGTTATTTGAAGTACAGGATATGCACAAATACCCACATGCATTCTATAGGTATTAAAATACTGTTACTCATGCAAAGTGTAAGACTGAGAACTTTGAAGTTCGATGGCAGTCAGAGAATGATTGTTGGTGTTACTTTGCCTCTGAGTAAAGAAGAAAAGGACATGCAAACTGTTTACAATAAAATTAAATCAAAACAGGCATAGAAATTTTAGCATGTTTTGAAGACTTCTTTCATCTTATTTTCTCTCAGCTTTTTTGAGTTTATGCAATGCTGTCTTAGTGGTATTTAGTTTAGGGAAGAAATCATCTATTCATTTTGGGTATCTCAATATACTGAAGAAATATTCATACTGTGTGCATGTGATCTCCATTTGAGCTCTTTCACTCTTTTTTTTTGTGGTGCGCTTTTTTACTGTATTCTTTCAGAGACCCTAGCAGGAAAGTAGACTTTGCCATCCAGGCTGGTTTTGTTATTTTAATCTTCTGTTATTTTTCTGTCTGGATTAACTATACAGAAGATTTCACGTTGGGCATGTTAAAAACCAGGATGTTTTCCTAACATAGTGAATTAGATATTTCTGTACTGCAAAACAAACAAAAAAAAAAAAAAGAAATTTAACAAGTTCAATGGGAATTTGCCATCCTAGCATTCAGGCTAAGAATCAAGGAAAAAGGCTCGCTTTTTTGACAGTGTAAACATTATGGCTTCAAACACTAGCCTACTTCTGCAGCTCTGAGCGGTAAATCCCCAATTCAGAAAAACACTTGCATGTAATTTGAATTTGTTTCTCTATGCGCATTTAAACATGAATGTAAGTCTTCTCCTGTTCTGGGACCTGAGGCTGAAAAATTGAAATGCAGTTTTTCCCTGGCATAGGGATTGCTTGCCACTTGGTGGCAACCGAGGCCGTTCCAAAAATAGCTGAGTGCTAGTTCATATTTTTTCAGTCTAAAACAGTGTAATTGCTGAACTTCCTAGTCACCACTTTTATTATTTTTGCAGAGTCAGATGTTGAAGTTCAGCAGCATGACCCCGGATTTGGACCATCTTAATGAGCTGGGTTACAGGCTCCCTCTGAATGATAAAGAAATCAAAAGGATGCAGAACCTGAACAGACAATGGTCTCTGATCTCATCTCAAACCACAGAGAGATTCAGGTGGGGATAGTTAGATTGTTGCACAATTTTCTTAGATTGCCACAGCTAGAAAGTATACCCTTTGCAGAATACAGAAAAAGGTTCAGAGATTTCATTAACCAAAGCTCATTTTCTTTGGTGTACTCGTAAGTAGAAGAGTGAAACCAGTCATCTGATATGTTGGTTTTGCCAAAATAGAGTTTGAAGTGAGGAAAACTGCTACTTTTAAAAGTGTTGACTAAATAAATTGAATGAGGCAGCTGAATGGGAACAGTGCTACCATCTGTTATGGAATTCTGCTGGAAAAGTTGTTAAAAGAGTCTTAACACTGTGTGTGAGAGGAAGAGGCCTTACCTGAATCTGTCTGTCTGTCTTTCAGTAAACTGCAGTCTTTCTTGCTGCAGCAGCAGACTTTCTTGGAGAAATGTGAGACTTGGATGGATTTATTAGTTCAGACTGAGCTGAACATGGCAGCAGAAATTTCGGGAAACTACCAGACCCTTTTAGAACAACAGAGGGCCCATGAGGCAAGTCATCATGTATATTTATACATAACTACAACACATACTATTTATATATAAGTGGAATGTACGTTCTTTGTGGAGTAGTATAATAGTATGCCTTGAATTGAATTACATCGACCTATACTGTCTGAGGATGTCTTAACTTAAAAAGACAAGCGTGCAAATATGTCAGTAATATCCACTTTGGGGGAGGATTTGAGTATCTGTTTGCATTTGTGTATAATGTATCAGTATGCCTATGAACATTTGTCCCCAGCATTTAATCTACTTCAAATTGGTTTGTACCAAGGAAATAAAAGTTTTTGTTGGCCTTCCTGTAGAATATAACTATTTTCATGTTATTTCACCTTTTGTCTTCAATCCTAACTGGAGAAAATACCTGTTTCTTTCGGTTTACTCTGATTTTCTTTATTTGTTATTGTACATTTATACAACATCTCAAGATCATGTTAAAGGAAGACTTATATGTCCAATATTGAATTTTATAACTCATCATGGGGCTATTTGGTAACATTTCCTTGGAGAACAAACTGATTTGATCTTTGCTGTGTGCTGGAGTCATTTGTCTGTTTGTAACAAATAAAGAACTACCGCAGCTTTTGCTGTTTTCAGAATTTTTACTAGAGGATGCCTTTATCATTCTTCAGAGGAGTGATGCACAATTTTCTCCACTCATATTGTTACTGCCAAGAATCCTGGTAAAGATCGAGACAAGTCAGTTCCCATGTGGCTACAGTAGTTTCAGTTCCCACAACTTTTTCAGCTGACTTACCCATAGACTTGGGCCAGAACATAGAGACAGTCATGAACTTTCCCCTCTCTTGCATTATATCTCACAGCATAGTGTTTGGATCAATGTCTGATAATACACAACCACTTTTCCTCCTTTAGCATAACTTTGCTTTAGCATTTAACTGCCTTTGCTTTCAAAAATGTCATCCATTTAATTTCCTCTCTTAATGTTAATTAACTGGACAGTGTCTTTGTAAGTTGAGACATCTCAGGTCTTTGAGATTTGAATGTTCAGAAATCATTATCCTCTAAGTGAGTAATTTCCTACTGTTGTTGGGTCCAGGCATAGCTATAATTTTTTGAAAAAGGTTAATGGCAATCTTCTTGCGTTCAGTTTTCTTGAGATCTCATCTTAATTCTCTCTTGAAACCTTGATCTGCACAGTTAGTTTGGGTGAGTGTTGCTGCAGCACTCCATTGAAGTGTGGGGGTTTTTTTATTATTGCAACTATAAAGTCATTTCTCAGAATTAAAGAACTAATATCTGATTTTCTAAATACTGCAGTTGATCCTAAGAAAATGTTATGAATAGCTTCTCTTATTTTACCTAAAGTTTTTTGGCATTTTATATAATCTAAATGTATTCAGTACTCAATGTTCTGTGCAATGTTCTGTGCCCCCTCCTGATACACTTGAATTTTCTTCCCACACCTCACAGCTCAAAGGGACAAATCTAAACTTCTTGAGATGAATTTCCAGAATGTTTTGCTTTGTGGTTTTGAAGATAATGAGAAAATATTCTGTTTCCACATGCATGGATATTGAAATACCTCCCACTCTGTTATCAGCTTTCTAGTGCTGACTCATAACTTTGCTGGTTTTTATTCAAAGAGGACCTCAGCTGCCTTGGTGGCCTTATTCAGAAATAACTTCCCACTGAAATTTGCAAACTAGAAACATGGAGGTGATATCTTGTTCAAATATCCTGCACTAGCACTGGCATCTCTATCAGAGAAGTCTGTAAGGACAATCTTGTGGTCATTCTGGTGCAGTTCTCCAGATACCCATTTGTGAGCCTTGTGCATTGCTTGGGACTCCTATGCAGTGGGAAGGCACGGAGACAAGCATTGAGAAAGTGTTGGCAAGGGAAGGGGATGTTCCTTGCCAACTCAATTACTGAAATTTTTTCCAGTGTGGTGATATTGTGCATTCCAACAACTGCCCTTCTTTCCTTCTCTTTCAAATGCCTATTTCTGTGATTCGTTGTGATCTATGTATGAGAAGAAATTGCAGTGGCAAGTGGCCCCACATAACGGGGTGTCCCTCTTACATACATGTGGCAAGCAAGTGGATATTGACAGAAATGTCTCTGCTTTTGGGCAGAGCTTGAATACTTCCACTCTAAGAATAGCTCCTCATGCTTTTTTCACCTGCCCTGTTAAAAAAAAAAAAAAAATGTTGTTTTGGGGGGTTTGGTTTTGGTGGGTTTTTTTAACCAGTTGTGTTCTATTGAGTCTCCCATCTGTCAAAAATGGTGGTAGATGCTGTTTCTTCCTGTGCTTCACCCATGCCCCCTAACTTGACAGACACAGATGTGACTGGATGTAAACTTCCTACCTTCTTGTTCAGCTTTCTGGAATTCTGAATCCCATGGTATTCTGGTTTTGTTCGTGACTTAACAGAGCAATTAGTTTCCCTCTGGTTCAGACTCAGTCATTCATAAGGGCCAAGATATTCAAAGAACACTATCAGTGAATGAAATTGGACAACACTATTACTTTCTGTGGGAAAACTTATGACCTGGGTAACATTTTCAAAATTAAGTTGGTGATTCAGGAAGGTAAAAATGTCATTTTGAAAAATTAGTCCACCATCTACAAGTCCTAAGCTACATACAGTGTGCTTGAGGGATTTAATTGTGCAGGTGCCAGTGGGTATTTTGCTGGCAGTTGCAGATTCAGAGATTGGTACATCACAATTTGAGCTGGTGGGAAACCATACAACAGCAGTGTAATCTGGATTTAGAGTATAGTGGCCCTTAGTTCAGGCAAGGATGAACTTCTGTCAACTGCAAACACCATCACTAACAAAAGAAAAAAAATATCTCAAGCTTCATACCAATATACTTTCTCTTTTAATATCTGTGAAAACTTCTTGGACATAGAATGGGTCCAGTCCTGAGCTGATGCCTGGATGTGCCTTCATCAACCTAAAAGATTCCTGAACAACTATATCTAGAGACATGGTGCCTTATTAGAAGAAAAGATGTTTTTAAAAATAAATGTTAATATGCATTATTAATTTTTGCTTAAGTGGCAATTAGGCAGTTTTTTATCGGAAGTAACATTTAAGTAATAAGGGAGTTTTAAAAGTACTGTGAAAGTTAATTGTGACTGATGGGGAAAATAAATTGGAAAAATTGGAAGAAGTGGAAAATTGCTTTCTAGCTCCTACACATCACTGATCATTTCTTTCAAAGTTCTGTTGGCGATGTAAAATTGTATTAAAAGTTTATATAACACTATCACACATAATTTGTGTGTAAATTCAATTTCACAAGGCATAGGACTGTAATATTTGTGAACAGGTCAGAAAAAAACCCCATGCCCTTCCTGTCCATGCAATAAATACCCTATCTGGATTTTGATGTAAGATATAGTTCCAATCACACAATTGTACTTAGAGACTTAAAACCTACATACTGTTGATATTATTTACCTATTTAATAGTTTTTAAAGTAAAAGCAGCAAGTAACTCCAGCAATGAGATTTTTAAATGTGTTTTTCTATTTTAAGTTTATGACAAAGCTCCCATTGAATTAATTCGAAATTAGAATAAATACACAAAAATTATTTTTTTACAGTACATGCAGATAGAATTAAAATGTAAGACCTTGTTTTAATGTCCTTGTCTCCTGTACAACAGCTATTCCAGGCAGAGATGTTCAGCCGCCAGCAGATTTTGCATTCAATTATCTCTGATGGGCAGCACCTCCTAGAACAGGGACAAGTGGAT